TGTTTGTCATGAATTAATATTAGTATTGTATCTTATATTATAGGATTTGGTTGATATCCATAAGAGCATCTCTAAGAGTGGTCTTAGGTTTTCTTTATATTTAAGAAAAATCTCTCATCCTAGGAAATAGGGAGCCAAATAAGGAGTAAGTGTTCCAACAATGCTCCTCAGATGGCTCCCTATATCATGTCCTAGACTACCTATGACAGTGATAGATGCATTCGATTCCCGGGAATTATTTGTTATATGATGTATTTTACGCATTCTCATGCTACTAGGCTATAATTCGTAGCTTTAGTGTGACCTATGAGGTGATTTTCACATTCACGAATGACTTATCGAGGCTTAAGATTCTGACAATTGAATGTGAAATAGAGCAAATAACAAACCTTTGGTTTTTGTACAAATTTAATAGTCCATTTCTTTCTTGGTATTTACCTTGTTTTGAAAAGGGGTCTGATTTTGGAATATAATACAATGTATTTAGTTTGCAAATGAGAAAGAGATATAAACTGTTACATTCTTCCATAAAAATATCAATAGTGTGTTGTTTGGACCATACTTGCATTTTTTTAATTATGGTGCAAAACTTAAAATTCATTATTTTCGAGAATTATTCTTATTATTATTTTGTTAGTTATCTAGGAACTCTAGTGGGAAATATTCTCACTGAGCCCTAGCTCACCCATTATTTTTAAAAAATTCCAGATTTGGCGTAGCTACATAATAGCCTAACTTTTGGATATGATGCATTGCTGAGAGTCGTTATATGGAAAGCCTCCTTTTTGATGTTACATACAGTCAATAATGTGCTTTATTTAGTAAAATACTTGTAACAGTGAGCTTGTGGGTTATAAGTACCGATTATATACATATATATAGTTGCTCCGAACTTCTATCAGCAGCAGATTTATAAATATTTTGAGATAAACTATGTGATAAGAAGTGTCAGACTTGACTCGTGTATGAGACTTGTCTTGTGCATAGGTCGCTGCTGTCGCGTAACCTGTATTTATGAATTTTCGCTGCAGTTTCAGGGCGTCACAATTGAGTTGTAGAGGGCCATTAAATTAAATATGGATAGAGGAGCTTCTAGTAGTGTTTTTAGGGGAAGAGAATACGAAATAAAGTTTGGGGAAAGAGCTTTTGTGTAGCTTCAAAAATACCTGAACCATTTTGGTGCCACGTTGCAGAGCATCATCGACGAGGCATAAAGGAGCTTCTAATATTTTTTTTAGGGGGGCACAAAACGGTGGAATAGAGTTTAGAAAAAGAGAAGCAACGGAAAAGAAGAATGAAGGCCCACTACTCGGTTTCTAAATGGGTTGATGGGAACCTTGAGAAGCTTAATTGGTTTAGTTACTTTTTAATTGCCCAAGAAGTTTGATAATTCAATTACTATGCACGAAATATGTATAACCTAGTAAGGTAATTTGTGCTTATATATCAAGTTATTACCTAGTACTCACATAAACAAGAATGAGGTTAATCTCATAATAGAGGTCATTGATACCGAGAACCTAACCTTTTGATTGATGAGTTAAAAATCCATAAAAAAGATTAAATGTATTGCTAGATAATAGCTAAAATATACTTATAAGAGGGCATTAATAACTTTGACCATCTTTAGGCTTAGTGTTAAAGAAAGACCCCTTGTCATCTTTTCTTAGGCAGTTTGTGATTTTTTTCACTAGGTGGGGGTTGGGGTGGGGAGGGGGGCACGAGGGTAGGCTTGAGGAAGGTGAGAGTTAACAAGGAATGAAACATGAGCTCTTTTCTTTGGCTTTAGAAATATCTTGACCATTTTTGTGTTGGGTTGTAAAGGACCGTTAAATAGGGGTTAAGGAGCCTCTGAGAACGACTGAATAGAGTTTTGGGAAATGAGCTTTTTTGTGGCTTTAGAAATATCTGGGTCATTTTGGTGTTGGGATGCAGAATTGTCGTTGAAGAGGGTAAAGGAGCTTTTAGGGTTTTTTTTCCTTTTATGGGAAAAGAACGGTGGAATAGAGTTTTGGGAAAAAGAGAGAAACCGCGGAGAAGAGATAGGGCTCACTTCATAATTGGGTTGGGAGTAAGGTTAAGCCCATAATGGAGGTCATTGATAGCAAGAACCTAACCTTTTGATTGATGAGTTATTTCCATGAAAAGAGGTTCAATGTACAGCTAAATAATATATTTGTTAAATAAGTACTTACAATAGAGCATTAATAACTTCGACCATCTTTAGACTTATTGCCATAGTTAAGCCCTCTCTCATCTTTTCTCCATTGGCAGGTTTTTCAAAATTATTGGTGGTGGAAGAAGGGGGTCGAGGAGTTATGGAAAGAAAAAGAATTCCCAGATCCCTCTTATCTTTCACCATTGAAAATTTTGTTAAAATTTTAGGGTGAGGAGGGCTGAGGAGTTAATGAGGATTTAAATACAGCTCTTTTCTGTGGATTTGGAAAGACCAAGGACATTTTGTTGTTGGGTTGTAGAGATTGTAGATAAATGGTCCCTCAAATTATAGAAATTGCTATTAGGTCCCCTAATTCTTATAAGCAGGGGCGGAGCCACCCTTGTTCAAAATAGTGCACTTGAACCACCTCAAAATTACAAATTCCCTACATATATTATAAATATCAGCAATATATCAAAGTGGGTCTAATCCCAGCGGCTTAGAGAATGGAGAATAGAACGTTTATGTCAAATGGTCTTGGGTTCCAAACCTGTGCACTCCATTTAAAATTTCTATTTTTCATACCCTTCAGTCTTCTCTTCTTTGTTTCCCTCTATTTTTAGTAATACACATTTCGTTTTGTCCCTGTTTCCCCTCTATTTCTTTGTTTACTCTTCTCTTCTTTTGTTTATTTTGCACCTCTAACTTTTTTTAAAATCTCTATTTGTTTATTAATTTACCCCCATCGTCGATTAAACTTTTGATTGTTTATTTCGAACCACCACTCAAAACACCGTAGATCCGCCACTGCTTATAAGGTGTTTCAACTTAACTTAATCAGTCCAATCAAGAGTAGTATCAACTTAACTTAATCAGTCCAATCAAGAGTAGTACTAGCAAGATATAAGAGTTGGGGGAGCTAATAGTAATTTCAGTGATTTGAGGGACTAATTTCAAAATATTGTATTCTCCATCGTCGGAAAAAAAATCCAAAATTACATGTTCCCTTCTGTATCATTCGTAGTTCCCTATCAGATTGAAAAGGTAGCCAAGTCACAAACCACTCCATGCTCTATTCTAATATTAATTATTTCCCTTGTTATCTCCAATAATATTAATGGAATATCAAGTTTGATTAGACTTTTTTAGTTGCTGATGATAATAGTGAGGTAAAATTATGAGCAACAATTACCTAAATGTCATATTTGGTTAGTATTGACATTGAAGTAGTTAAAGATAGCTTTGATATATTTACTCCTTTGGCTCTTTTATGAGCTACCAATTTCTCTACTTACATACAGTGAATATTGATCAAAGATTGGATTCCTGTTGAGTAGATTTTGCTTCACAATTCCAATCACTTTTCCAAGGAGTCCTATTTTTATTCACTAACAGATATTCTTTCATACTCATTATTTGCTGAGTTTTGTGTTCTTTTCATTTATTATTAAACACTATATGACAGACTTGCATAACTCCTTACTAAGTTAAATTTTCTTGTAGCAGTTAAAAGAGCTATGACATATTTCTTTTATAAATGCATAAATAGGCTTGATATGTTAAACTTCTAGCATATAAGAAAACACTGTATGGATGTAAACATTAACCAAAAGTTGAACGAAGAAAAAGGATTCATGTACCGGACATGAGAGTTTTGGATAAAGATTTTCTTGTTGCTACGGAGTCATTAAACTCTCATAAAAAAATACTTGTCCATATCCACATATGTGAAGTCAATATATGTATGTAATCATGTATTCTCTCTCTTTATTATTTCTTCTTCTCATAATTCCTAATATATATGAAGTTTCATACTTTATTTGCTAGGTGCTGCTGATGTAGGTGTCCATGAATTGCATATATATGAACTTTATGTGGTGTCATCTTCAGTCACCTCCTAGAGACTTTAGAACCATTGGAGCTAATTAAAGTGACATCATAACATTTCGTCTCAGTACCCTGTAATCCCGTGGCAATGCTTTGAGAACCTTTGTATTACATCATATAGACCTTACTCCAAAGCAAATTGACTCTAGCTCTTCACCTTCTGCCTTTAATTGTAATGGCCCTATACTTTATTTTGTTAGAGAAGCTTCCTCTACCTGTGTGTTAAGAAGTATGAACATTTCAAAGCAAGTCCTTGACTCATGTTAGATAGATATCAATTATGTTCACCTGCATAACACTTTGAATACATGTATCAGACACATTGGAACATGAAAATTTTAGAAACATCAAAAATTTCTATGTTTCGGCCATGATCATTCATAGGTTATGTCTGCCTTTGATGTACGTATGTTCCATATCCCTGTCCATGCTTCCTAGTTTGTGGCAGTTAACCTTCCACCATTATTCACAAAGTATGGCCTGATAAGAACTATACGTTAGTGATCCACGTGCAAACTATTTTTCTTGTTGCATATTTCCTCAGCTAAGCAGAGGATATTCCTTACCACTATAGTGCATTATTCACCTTGCCTATGTGAGTCTCTGTACATAACATGCATTTGATTTAAATGCTAATAAATGTTGATCTTTGACAAACAAGCAAGTTGAATATATAAGTTCAGTACCTGTTTGCAGTATGTGGCTCTTAAGAAATCCAAATTTTCTCTTTTTTTTTTGTTTTTTTCTCCTTGCATAGGTCCTTCAATCTTGATTATCATAACAAGAACATCTAGATTCCATGGGGATGCAGAAGCTTGAGCTTAACACTCTGCATTCATATGCTAAACATAATGTCCTTTAGTACTAATATATATTGTATAAGCTGAGTTAACTATATGGTCTGTTTTCTTAAATCTGGGATATTGTCAGATCTATTTTCTATCACCACCTTCAGGTCCACATAGAGCTTGGATTATGCGAAGTCATGGGTTCACACGCAATGAGGATTAGTGAGCCAGCTAAAGATGAGATCTGGTTCCCTGCCATTTCAGAACTTGAATCTATTTTTCCAGCCGGGACATTAGATTCTTCAGCAGAGCGTATTTACCAACAGGTTTCTTATTTCATTCTTCCTTATTTAACTGTTATAAATTTCTTTTGTATCTACATATAATTATTTACAGAGTGAAAAACTGGTGCCATATTAAAACTTTCTTATTACTTATATTGCTATTTTTCGCAGTTGCCTCAATGGGAAGAGCCTGTGAGTTCAGCAAGAGATAGATATAAGAACATTATTCAGGCCCTTGCTGACAAATTTCCTAATGAGAACCTGCTGCTGGTCACCCATGGTTAGTTATTACTTTCTCAAATAGTCTTATGTTTATTAGAAGTTAATGACATTTTTTTCTATATTTCTTCTTCTTTTTTAACTATGGGTTAATTGCCTACTGACCCCTTTACCATCGCCTTTCCGGATAGACCCCCATGTAGTTCTATTCTTGCGTATAGACCTCCTGTATTATCATCTAATTGTGGATAGAGCCCTGAGTGAATTTTTTTTTACTTTTACCGTCAAGAGGTCTATTTGTTAATGAAACAATTTTCTCTTTCTCTGAGGGTGAAAGAGTCAAAAATGTTCCCTCAGCGGATGTATCTGCAACAATAGAACTACAGAGTGTCTATCTGCATTTTGGTGATAGTACGGGGGTGTCTATCAATTAACAATAAGAAGTGTTGTTCATCTTTGCAACTCAACCACCACCATCAGTGGCATACACGTGCTGACGTATAACCCAATTATTATTGTTTTCTAATGCTTTCTCCCTATTGACTGCGTCAATTTGGCTGCTTTTTTTTCCTCTTATTCGAAGCTAGTAATCCTTGTGTCCGCATTGTGCAGGTGAAGCAGTTGGGGTTTCTGTTAATTCATTTGCCAAGGGTCTTGAAGTTTTCGAGGTGGAATATTGTGCACTTTCTTTTCTGCAAAGAAGTACTCAGGCTGAAAATCTTAGGGTGTTAACAGAAAGTGCCCAGTCTGGTGTGTCATATTATTCTGAAGCAGACAAGACACCATAGGGTACCAGATTCCCGAGTAGAGCTCAAGGAACTTTTCCCTTGCATGATTTAGTGAATAAAATGATGATGTTGTTCTTGTAATATAAGAAACGCATTCCATTCTGTTTAACAAGATCCTGCTATCTGTAACTTTTTGAAAGTCCGAAAGCTATTTGGAGGACATTTCTTCTGTATCTTATGAATCAGAGTTTCTTTTGTAATTAGATGTAGTCTTATTTGCTCTTCAGGAGCTATCATTGCATCTGAACAAGAGACTTGTATCCCAAAACTATACTGTTGGTTACCAGAATGCAATTTGATATGTTGTTGATAAGATCTATGACAATGAGATTATGAGATTTCTATGCGTACGCTTATGGTTTCTTCCTAAACTTTTGGCAGCAAACTTTACTTGTATACTTTTTGTACAGCTCATTATGGATAATTTGAAGAAAAAAAAAACCGTATATCTTCTCGATAAAACACAGGCAAACAGTTCATCTAATAAGTCCAAGAGGTGTAGTCTAAATGGGAGAATTCTATGCAAACAAGTCAATTAGCAAAGTTAGTTAATAGTATAATGCTTGAACTATTATCTAGTATTAATTCGGTTCGAGCATGATAATCAACTTGAAGAAATCAGCTGTGTTACTTCATTGATCAGTCTCGACCCTGTATTGAGCCAGGACGCATCAATTCAAATGTGAATCACACGTGTACATGTATTTGTATTGCTACTATCAGGCACACTGGAGCTTTGCTGGAAAAAAAATTTCTCTGGACGAGACACCCAGTTCTTGAAATAAACTCGCAAGGCAAGCAATAGAGTTTTTAATGTTGCCTGATGCACAAATAATCAACAGAAGACAATTTGAAAGCCCAGATGATCTATTTTCAGATAAGAGGCAAAGCTCCATATCCTGTTATGCCCGGTTCAAGGACTAACAGTCAAGCCGCAACGACAGAGTTTAACAAGAATAGATGGTGAGATGTTTGAGAAAAGGATAAAAATGAACCAAATAAAACCAACCAAAAGCCTAACAACCTCCAGCCTTCTCCAATATAAACCAACCCTTTCTAGGATTATAACAAGTCGAAATTATATATGCAAATCAAAGATCGTCAATGGAGGAGGTACAGCTTTACCTCACATGACAAATGACTAGAATTTTGACACGCACTACAACACAATCAAGTCCAGACTCCAGAACAAGAGCCTCATACCACCGATAGCAATCCACAATATACCTCGAGCTAAAGAATCGATAATAAGTTAGCCACTTTATAAATAAGTGAACCAAGACAATTTTGCCATATACAACAGCACATATATAGACAGTAAAGAAATACACTCATGCATATATTAACAAAGAGGATGCTTAACATCATTCAGCATAAATCAACTTTAGGGCGCATAAACAGTGATATAACTAGATCGCTTGGATTGGATCAGTACTTGATTTCATCGCTGAACCACTCGATGGTGGATTTGCTTGGAAAGCAGATTGTCTATTTGAGTCTCCAAGTAAATTTTGTGTGAGCTGTGATTCTCCTATGCTCAGTTTTGAGATGCCCAAAAGTTCATCAACATTCATAGGTGCTTTAGAATGTACAGGAGTTGGCTTCACAACTTCATGTGTTTGCTCGTCTGAAGTTTCTGCACTGTAATTTGCCCAGAGAGGCAAGGGGTAAGGAAAAACCGGAGTGAAAAATGCAGGATACATAACTGGGTAAGGGCACTGTGGAGTTTCTTGTTTTGGATAAGTGCATTGTGAAGCTTCTGGGTTTTGAACAGCTGCCTCTCCGTCAGAGTTGTTAGAGTCCATGGATTCACATTCCTCGTCTACAGTTGAAGGCGCTGGTAATGGAACTTTTCCATGTACTTCTAATTCTTGACCGTTCATCGGAAAGAACTGAGCCTCTGCAGCCTGAGAAAATGAAAGTCAAAGAAGCCATGATGATGATACTATAGCTAGTCCCTTCTTCTCATCAAACACAAAAGGGTTAATTGCATATAGATCCCTGTAATATGGTTGTTTTTAACTTACTATCCATGTAATTTCGTTGTTGTAGATGCACCCCCTTTTTTTTAAATAAACTCTTTTACCCTCAGACCGGGCAATATCTGCCAAATTTCAACAACAGTAAAAGAGTCAAAAAATTTAACCGGAGGGTCTATCTGCAACAGTGATACTACAGGCGGTGTATGTGCAATTAACCCTAAACGTATGTGTATGCATGAAGTATACGATATAAGAACACTAACTTCATTAGGTACAATATCAAAGAGGCTGGATCTTCTCTTTCTTCTGTTCATATTTGTTTGACGGATGAAATATTTCTGAGCATGACTAGCCACTTGTGTAGGTGTTCTTGATATCACAAAGTTGCGGGCTATTCCTCGCCAGTCGCCTTTTCCAAGCTTTTGCAAGCCAAGTAAAAACATCCTGTGTTCCTCTTCAGTCCAAGGCACGCCTGCAATTAAATTTTTGCAAGAACGTAAAACTCACAAGTTGTCTGTTCTCAAAAATCCAGGTTCAATTGCAAAAGTTTAATTCTTGCCTTTGCTTGGATGTTAAGGAATGAAGGTATCAGATTCATAATTTCAAAGTATAAAGGAAATATCCAGTTCCCTTCTTCATGCAAATACAAATGAGGTTCTTATAAATAAAATAAAGGAAACAAAGCATAGAAGTTGCATATGAGAAAAGGGTGCGGCAGGGGGAGAAGAAAAATATCAGAAATGTCTCTCTGAACAAGAAATCAACATGATATACGATGACTGGAAAAAGTTGATTATTTCTTGTTTATTACACCTCTTGATATTTAAGCATGGTACTAATCTTTACTAATTTGAGTTGGGTAGTAGATCTCCTTCTTCACTTACTAAGAGGAAAACCAAGGGGGAAAAAAATTAAAACATGCAGTTTTAAGATTCTCTATGCTGGTATTTCCTGGAAGAAAAAGGTTCAGTAGTGTCTATTCATTTCATTCAAACACAGATTTGACCAGTATCGTGTGTCACCTAATCTATTTTAGCATTCCCACCACATGATCCTTAATTTTAATGGATTCTCTCGATCAAATTGCTAAGGTGTGTACTACGACAATACTGTAAGCACCTGAATACAATAAATGAATGTTATCAGTAGAGCATGTCTGCATAGATGACACGGTTTACCTGATCATTTAAACAGCCATCATAATGACCCTCGAAAGTAAAATCAATAGGCCTGAAAGTAAACCTTTATGACAGTCAAATAGGAATCAAATGGGTGATATAATCCCCCTGCATGTGATCTTGGTGCCATGAACTGCTAACTCCTTGAACTGACAACTGGGCAGCAGAAAAACTTCTTATTGCGGCGCTTCCACCCAAAAAGGGGATTTTTTTCATCCCCCGAACAACCCCCCCCCCCCCCTCCCCCCAACCCCTCTTTTTTCGCTATTACTCGTAATAATGCAAGATGGGGCTGCTCGCAGTAATCCTTCACATTATCCCCCGGCAATTAATAAAGCCACAGTAATGAAACTAGAGATGAAAGGAAATATGGAAGCATGGAATTAGTGGAGCATGTGGTTCTGTCAGATTTATTCATATACACTCCTTTCCCAACCCAAATATGTCCTGGACACCATTAAAGTTTATACATGTTTTCACTTAAGAATTCACAGGCACTTGCACGTGCCCAAAAATCTAGTTTAGCGTTAAACATAGCCAAGGAACAAGTCGACAAGATCATGGTTCACCGATATCCGGTGTATGTGACCTAAAGCTAAGGATCATCAGGTAGCCCCAGGATACTCTATTGTGCTATGAACTTAACTATTATCAAGAATCCAACATGACAGGCTGGATACTACGTCAAGCAGGAATTGTCTAAAGAGACAAATAAACAATTTTTTAACCAAAAAAGACCAAACAACCTTGATACCTGGATAAGCTCCGCGTGACTAGTATTCCACTTTCAACCCTAAATAATAAGTGACAGTATTTCTCAAGATTTCAATAGTAAACTCAATTATAATTCGATCAAATTAACATAACCACTCTTAATCCAATGTACTCCGACAAATAATCTAGCCATATACAGCCATCTGGAACCAAACATTACGTAGCTCACATTATTGAATAGCCTCTTTAGCAACTACAACTTCACAAGAGACAAAACAAATTGCTGCCTTGCACTTCAGAGTTCAGACTCAGTGCTCAGACTCATACATGCTCCTATCCAAATCAAATAGAAGAAACTAACCAATCACTCAAAAAAGCAACAATTACAGTGGATCAAGTACAACACCAAATTGAAACACCAAAAATTTGATAGCCCAGTGTCCTGTTTGGCTAACAGACACCTAACCTGATATCCACCTGATCCCAAAATAAAAAAAAATTATTCAAATATTTATGGATACTTCATCGTAATAATTCTTGATACACACATGCACCAGGATAACATCACTCTGCCCATGTTCCTATCTATCTACTCTTCCCTTCGGCACATATTGTCATCTGGAAAACTAAAATTTCAAGTACTAAACAAACTTCTATAATGTGCCTCGTGTATTGCATATATATAGATAGCGCCCAAGTATACATCTTTGCCACTAACAGAATTTACTTGCTCAATCCTCAATATGGACAGGAAAGTTCTCGTGTGCACCCTTCAGAAAATATGCTTTTCAATGTCCCTATTTGTTGTTAAAACATACACATATTGTATTCTCTATGAATCAACATTGTCAACCATTCTCATAAGAAAGTGTTTCCAAAAAAAAAAACAGACTGCTTATAAAAAATCACACATACTAACTTTTCCCTGATAAAAAAATACGCAAAAATAATTAACTTCAATTTGTATTGACAATTGTTTACTTCACGTATGTGGCGTATGTAGGATAGAGCTGGACCCAGCCAGAAGAAATCCAATTGTCTAAGTTCCTCTGTTCTAGTTCATTGACAATAGCATATGTAGACTAGAATGATTCAGAATGAAGAGACGTGCAGGACATGCTTATCAAGAAAAATCCATTACTTTAAACACTACTCTATACATCCTTTAAGAGTTTTTCAACAAATATAAAGTTACATGCAATAGGTATATTTATTGGGAGACTCGGTGTAAATACTTGAGATTGATATTAAAGGCAAATGCAAAGCACTTGAAAGTGATCAATTGAAATTGTGAAATTAGACAGAGTAAAACCTCTATTGGCCTAGAGGTGGCAGTTTTTGGGGATTAACTTCATAAGAGATTAGAGAACAAAATCATGTTATGAACACCCAGCAGAAAGAAAAAACAACCATCAGGCATCTGGATTGGCCCTTTAATACTGTATGTCTGTAACTAAAGAAGGTCTAAAAGAAAATTGCATGTTGATGATCGCTGATCATCATATACCAAGAAAAATTGCAGAATAAGCCCTTGGTAAGTAATAAAAAAAATTAAACCTTGAATTCAGGTAACCCAAATCAGTAATATAGTGATGTTACACTCTAATTCCATGAAACTAAGCCCTGAGATTAAACTATCTTCTCTCGTACCTATTTATGCGCACAACTTCACATAAAGAACGGGACAGCATACAATAGAAAAGGGAGGATTAACATGCATATTGAACATCATCAAAACTCCAAATACTTTAGTTTTTAACTAAATTCTTTCTGATCCATCTCTAATAATGATCAACTTTTACTGGTAATACCTCCCTTTGAAAGCAGAAGCAATTCATCTTATTGACATCAGAGAGTTATGAGGATCACTGCTTAAAATGTGAATAAATCAGCTAATTAGCGACCTTTAGGATATCCCTACATGATGCTATCTTATCTATTGACATGGCAGGTTTATATATTGAGTAATTAAACCAGTCAACAGTACATGCAAATCAACAATGTCAAACTTCTAGATCAACAGTACCCAGCAGATAGTAATGATCCAAATTCAGCGGCCATGGTCAAAAATAGGAAGGGGAAAAAATCTCAAGAACAGAGTTCTGAGTTTTTCGTTGGAACTGCCATGAATAAGACCTTGGCAGCTCCTCCATTGCACGGCGACCCACATCACTGTCGCATGTCATGCAAATGAATCTAATAGTTTTGTCATTCCATATCCTAATAAATTGGGCAACTTAATGATCCTAATCCAACTCGTATGGGCATGCATCACCAAACCGCTCATTTCACAAACCCAACGTCAGAATCTAACGAAAAACTCTACTTTTCCCCTTCAAATTACTAATAGAGACTTGGTCTCAATTGTTTCGACTGTAACTTCAACTAAAATCTTGAAGAAAAAAAAACAATCTTTAAACGAAATCACTCACCTCTTTTCCTCTCGCGACAGCTCGAAGACGACCCCTGCACGAAATCCTCCGACGCGTACCCATCCGCCGCATCGCCCGGCGTAGTGAGAGAGGTTCCCCATACTCGCGCTCTTTCGAACCGATCCATGGTCGGTCAATCGAACCCCAAAGAGCTTCACTCCTCGATTAGGGCACGTCCTCGAGTTGTGGCCGTTGTTGCTGCAATGCGAGCACTTCCTCGTCATCCCATAAAGCTGCAGCTAGGGTTAGGGTTAGGGTTTTGGGATATCTTAGATTTGGGGATTTTAGGGGAGATGTATATGGATATGGTTTGAGACTTGAGAGGGCAAAAAGGCGAAGCAGATTTTGGGGTCGGTTTTTCAGTATTTTCGAATTAGTCCTTCGCATTATTAAAATTTCTATTTGGGCCCTCAATCTTATTTGTTTTGCCAAATTCGCCCCTCCTTTATCCATTCTATCTAAAATTTGGGAACTCAAAATTTTTTGGGTTTCAAGGGGTTTGAAGAAACAAGCTCGGGTTTGGATAAACTCAAAACAGTGGGTTATAATGTTAAAGACATGATAAAAAAATTATTTTAGTGAAGTATTCCCATAAAAATCAAATGGTAGGTATCTAGGGGGACTAATTTGTAATAACTAATTGGATAGGAAGGACCGGATAGCCATTTCAATGATTTGAGAGACTAAGTTAAAAATATTAACGTGCGAGGGACTAACGAGGGAAAAACAAGATTGGGTTCTGTACCAGGTTGGACCGGCCCACGTGGCGGTGATTTGGACCGGAAATTGCCGGTTCAGATGAGGAAATGAATTGGATTGTGGATGAGGCTAAGATTTGTTTAATTATGTTATCTTTGTCTCCAATGGATTGGTTATGGATTTATTGAAAGGGACGTTAGCTTAGCTGGACCCCAGGTTCGGACTTTGCGGTCTGGAAAAAAAAAAGAGGATCATTTTCATCTATACCCTTTTTATTTTAGATATGTCTAATTTTGTCCCTCCCCATTTGTTATTTCCCCAAATTACTCCCTAATCCAACAATTGTCAAATTTTTAATAATTAGTAACGTGTGGTTTATCTCTTTAAAATCTTTTTCTTTTGGTATAAAACTAGTATATAATTTGTA